CGATGATCTTGGAATGGCGTCATCTGCTGGTGGTGATGGTGAGCATTCTTCGCCGCATTCAGCTGTGTAGGAGGTAGGAGGGACAGGTACAGGTAGTTCATGATTGTGGGGTATAGGACGAATGGCTGAGGGGATGTTTGGATAGATCAAAGCATGTTTTTTATTATTGTTTATGCCGATGACAAGAGGAATCATACAGAAGTAGCAGTCGTTTACATGGTTATGCGGTTCCCACCACACCATGGGCACAGCTTATTTTTGTTTCTTTGTTAATGTACAGGGATTACATTAGCAATCTTACAAACACAACCCAGGAGCCTCTGGGCTCACAAATAACCAACACGAGATTACAAAAGCAGCAATACACCAGTCACTATCAACTCACAAACACAATGTAAATAGCCCAGGAGCCTCTGTAGAATCTGACGGGATACATGTGATTCAAAATTAAGATAGTAGGAGAATACCAAAGTACGATTATTTCAGCTGTATGCTATCAGACTTCCCTAGCTTCAACGGCCTCGACAGACTCAGGATAACTTCGGAGGACATGGATTCCTAATCGAAAGTTGTTCTCTCATAAGCTCCTTCAGTTTGGCCCTAACCTTTTGAATCACCCTGTATTAAGATGCCAGTGGAAAGTTATCTCTGATTTGGGATCAGTGATGTAACACACTATTGCTAGGTAATTATGTGCAGGGAAAATCTTAGATTCTAATGTGATAATAGGATTTTAGTTCACTCTTTAGTTTCTCAAAGAATGTTAGCATTATAATACTGAGAAAAAAATTGAATGGCTGCTTTAATGTCTAATATATATATATATATAAAATTAATTATATGTGTTTGATTTTATTTCAGATCTTGTAAAAAAGAAAGTGAAAAATATCAAGTTGATTGAAAACTGTAATAATTTGAAACCCAGTCACAGCAACCCGCCCACAAGTTCATGGAAATCAGATGCCCTTCGAAGGGCTCAGTGCTCAGAATCATTTCTGTGGAGCCCTCATTTAGTGGAACTAACAGATAATGCTACAAAGAACTCTCAGTCCAGGGAGGATTTGACACTTGAAGATGGTTATGACAACATCTGTAAGTCAGAATATGTTTTTTCAGAATCAAACTTTAACCACAGTCCAGTGACTTCAAAGGCTAATAATGTCAATAAAAATAACATCAAAGATTCCAAAAATAATAATGTTGGGAAGAGAACTACATACAGTCTTAGTAATTACCCGATAGGTGAGGCTAACCCAAGAGATTATTTACTAAGTGAAAACATTCCTAGCAGCAGACATACATGTGAGGACAGGATAGCCAAACCGACGGAAGGAAAGATACGG